AGCTGGTGTAACAAGCTCCTTAAACACAGTGCAATTCTTATTCCAGTGTTGGAACAATTTTTGACATTCACTGATGCTTTAGGCGATAACAACTAAACAGAAGGTGAATAACATGGAAGACTGTGTGTATCAGAGTTTACTAAAAGCCATTTCAGAAACATGCAATTGCGGAAGATTGCAACTGTATTCAGACAATCAAAATAACAACTTACATTTATGTTTTGCCTCTCATTGAGAAAATATTGCAAGGTATTTTATGGGTGAGGAACAGGGAATGCATATGTGGGAGGGAAGTGACTGAACTCATCATTGAGATGATGTATTTTAGGAAGTCTTTTAAAATTAGGCATAAAATGGCAAGGCAGAGGAGGTTAGGGAGGGATTTCCAAAAGGTAAGGTTAGGCTGAATCACAATAAGATCTGAAACAAATACTGGAGTGAGAGAGTGCTGAATACTGCCCTTAGGCATGGTGCAGTTTTGTCGTTGAGGGTATAGAAAAAAAATCCACTTGAAGTTCATTCAAAACTTATGAATGATCTCTGTTTGACAGCTTAAGTGTCAGAAGATCACTGGACCTGAAATGTTGACTCTTCTTTCTCCACACAGATGCTGCCAGACCTGCTGAGTTTCTCCAGAAATTTCTGTTTTATCTCAGATGTAATGCTGACTTAGATCAGGTTTAAGTTCACGCTGCCTTGCAGTCAGTGTTCAACATCTGAGACGTTAACCCAGGAAGAGCAAGAAGGAAGTGTCAGTTTAATCATCAATGCAATGGTGACTCTTTAATACTGACTCAGAGGAAGAGATGAAGAAATGAGCCAATTTGAGCAGACCTTCGTCTAAGATGAAAAGCAGGTCAAGCAGCTGCTATCAAACCCTCATCAACAATGTTCTGTTCACGCATCATGACAACAAATGCTCACAGGCAATTCAGCTAACTTGTAAAATCACAAAAGAGAAACTTTGCAGACTTTGTTTCGCATGTAAATACTTAGATGGGATTTGTATCTCTTAGCGTTGCGATTCTGACGAATGACCAAGACAATGCTGTGAAAACCCAATGATTCAGATTCCACAATATCTTCTGTATATGCTTTCTGACCTTCTTTGTTAGTTATTTAGACTTTGAAATGTTATTGGAAAAGGGCATTATGGTATGGCTACAGAGTCAATACACTGTGAAGCTGGTGGAGCATCAGCATCAGAGGAACAGGAAAGTTGACGTTTTGGGTCAGCACCCACTGCAAAGCCTCTATCTCTGAGAGATTTATAACTCCATTATGGTATGGCTGTCTGTCTTCATTTTCTACCTGATATAACTCTGTGTCATGTGGATGGACACGAAAAACCAGGAAGGTTGTCAAGTGTTGAACCTCCTAAGGATATTTTATTGTGTTTTCTTTCTGTAATTATATTACAGACTGTAGATAAAGAACTCCAAGCCCTCATAGCTCAGGATTTCATCCCAGGGAGACCACTAGGCACCAGAACTAAGCTAAAGCAGAAACAGAAATTGCTGGAGAAAAATACTGTACTCAGCATTCTCTGTGGTTAGAGAAACTGTTAACATTTCAAGTCCATTATGTCACGTCTTCAGAATCTAGTTCTGAAAAAGAGGCAAATCTGACTCAAAGCATTAACTCTGCTGCCAAACCTGCTGAGTTTCTCCAGCATTTTCTGTTTTTATTTCAGATTCCCAGCACTCAGTAATTTGCTTTTATTGCCAGAAGCAGGTTGTTTGCATGAAGCACTAAAATGACTTAAAGCTGACTACATGGCAGTACCTGAGGGAAACAGCTTCCACAGGCTATTTTCCATAGAAATTGTACCATCTGTTGCGAGGAGGTGTGTTGCCAACTTAGACCAGCATGGTATCACTATCTTCATTTTTTCAACTTGCAACTTTTCCCAGGCTAGCACGCGGGTCAGTGGGAACATCAGATTAAATGCATACAGCATGACACTGATTGGCATGCAATTTCACCTTTTTTTATTACATGCCCATGGAGCAATTTCTGCTCCCAGTGTCAGTGTCTTTCTGGATTACTTTCCACTTGCTCATGGAATATGGGTGTTGCTGGCTGGGTCAGCAATAATTTGCCTGTACCTAGTTGCTCTTGAGAAAGTGGTGGTGAGCTGCCTTCTTGAACCACTGTAGTCCATGTGTTGTAGGTAGACCCATAATGCTTTTAGGAAAGGAATTCCAGGATTTTGACCCAGCGACACTGAAGAAATGTCATGTATTTTGAAGTCTGGAATGCGAGTGGCTTTGAGAGGAACTTTGAAAGTGGTGTGCGTTCCCACGAATCTGCTGCACTTGTCCTTCTAGATGGTAGTGGTCGTGGGTTTGGAAGATGCTGTCTAAGGGTCTTCAGTGAATTTCTGAACTGCATCTTGTTGATGGTACACTGCTGTTATTGAGTGTCAGAGGTAGAGGGAGTGGAGCTTTGTAGATGTGGTGCCAGTCCAGCAGTTTGCATTGCTTGTTGAGTTGAAGCTGCCCTCATCCAGGCTAGTGGGGAGTGTTCCATCACACTCCTGATTTGAGCCTTGTAGATGGTCAACAGGCTGTGGGGAATCAGGAGGCGAGTTACTGACTGCAGGATTCCGAGCCTCCTGCCTGGTCTTGTAGCCAGTGTGTTTATACGGCTTGTCCAGCTCAGTGTCTAGTCAATGGTAACCCCCAGGATGGCATTAGTGGGGGATTCATTGAGGGCAATGAGGTTCTGCTAAATGCATTTTCCAATGTAAATGTGTCCATATTCGAACGGAAGATATGTGCTTGGAAAAATAAATGGGAACCCAGTCTTTTAACCTGATTAGCTACAACTCAGAAAGTGGAGAAGTTCAACAGCACTTAAAGTGCTGCTGATAAGACCTGAAAGGGGTTGTCTGTAATGTGCATTGGGAGTGTGGCTAAACATTCCAACTTGCAGCTCACGTTGAAGCTTGTTCGCTTCTCAAGTTCCTGTTCCAAGCTGAGAGCTCAAGACCACTGCTGTATTCATTCCTCTGGGTTGCCATTTCCAAAAGCGTTAAAATTGGACAGTGAAATTTGTAAACTTAGCTAGTTGCAGTGTAAGCAGCCTCCTCAGCTGTCTTTGCAGGATTCTTTGTCTCGGATTGATCTTCCTGATCTAGCTTTCTTGGACAAACAAAGAGATCTTTTAAGATCACAGCACAGAGATAGAGGCCAATCAGGCTTTTCAGTCACAACTAACTCTCTGCAAATCAACTGAGTCATTCTTCCTATCCCATCCTTTTCCACAGTGCTGCATTTTATTTCATTCCTCATGCTTTTCTGATCCTCTCTTTCAAAGCCACGATAAAGTCTGCCTTCTTCACAGCCAGTACATTTCAGATTCTAAACACACCTTGCACGAAAAGCAATTCCTGCTGTTACCTTTTGGTATTTTGCTGATCACCTTCAATCTGTGTCCCATAGTTTTGGTGCTTTTGCCAGTGGGACTACCTTCCTGTGGAGTTTGTCCTGCAACAGTGATTTCCTCTCACCTGGGAATGTTCTTCAGAAATAGCTGAAGGCGTGAGCAATATAGTAGTAATGTAGGGGAGCAAAACTCTATGCACGACTTCGTTGCAGAATACTCGCTGCAAAAACATTACACTTCGTTCAGCAGCTGCAAACTTTATTTAAGAAGCAAACAAAGTAGCCTACCTATCAGTTATTTGTCTTTTGTGAACACATGGGTATGGAGTCTCTTAGAATTCAGCATGGTACCTGATTTGCATAAGTTCACTGCTGGTGGGTTTTTCTACTGTAACTAAAGAATCATTTTTGATGTCAGTATCATTCATGCACCAGATGACCAGTTATCCTGCCAATCAGGCAAATCAGGTCAAAGATGGGTGGTCATCATTCCCATCCTCTGCTCGTGATGAATCTTGAAACAGAATTTTGAAAATGGGCTTGAAAGAAGCATTGATATGCCATTTGAGGTCCTGAAAGGGCTTACAACTTAACATCTTTCACCATCACCTTCAAATGCTTAAATATAATGTTTCCAGGATTTAAAAATGCACAGCACCTCTCAGCCTGAGTATTATGTGTTGCTGCATATGTTTGCTTGACACTCTTCATTGCCTGAATTAGAAATTTGCCCAAAAATGTCTTCCTCAACTAACTCTACCTTAACAAAAGGTTAATAGGTCACGTATTACTTAATATGTGTGAAATTCTGATTGTGTGCATGATGGGAGCCATGTTTTGTTCAAAAGACAAAAGTAACACAAAAGTGATAAATTGTAATTGAAGTGCTCTTAAGGCATTTAAGAAATGAATGAGATACTTTACGAATGCTGAAGTAAGCAAAAATCACCAAAAAAAACACATCGTGAAAACTAATTCAGTCATTTTAAAATGAATTGTAATGATGAACTTAATTTTTAAGCAAGCAATGGCGTATCAACATGTGAATGAATATACTGTGACTGTAGTAAATGAAGTTTTAATTGGATAAGAATCTATTTCTATTTAAACTTAATACCTTTCTCTGGGATGCAATAAGCTTCAACCGGATTTAAATTATCTCAGAATTTTCAATTTGATTCAATTGCATTATTGTAGTTCAGTGATGCTGATTATGGTCGAAAGAAAAAGACACTCAGACACAAAAAAGGTAACTGGTTATTGATTTTTGAATGTGGCGGAAAATTGATGAGCAAGTTGTCGGACCTTGCACTTCATCGAAAAGGGGCAGCGTTGCCATGGTGAGTAATATGGCATGATGTTGCTATGGTGAAGTATTTGGTGCAATAGCATCATTTTGCTGACGGTATCTGAGTGCTGCATCCCTAATTCAGTGAAAAAATGATGAGTCACGTCATGGGATTTGATTAGTTATTTAGCAAACTTATTGTCTCACGCCAGTTGATACAAGAGGTGAATCTGTCTGCAAAAATCCCCACCATGGCACCTTTTGGGTTTTAGGTTCTGAGTCGTTGAATGTGATTGTAAAATATGTCCTTTCTTTGTCATCAGCCCCGTATTGTAGCCCACCAAGCCCCCCTCGGCATGGCACGGTTCACACTCAAACAGGAGGCCTACCTGGTGGCACAGTGCAATTCAGCTGTGATCCAGGTTACCGGCTGATTGGACAGGCTGTTGCAACATGCTCTCGATCCCCTCAAGGCTGGTATGACTGGAATACCATTCCTCCTCTTTGTCAAGGTAAGAAAACCATCCCACGTAAAAACAGTATCTTCACTTTTGGAAATCAATAGTTAAAAGGAAATTGAAAGAGAAAACCAGCAAGTCTATCATGATCTGATCCTATTTCTCATGAGGATTTCAATCCACTGCCAGAGAAGAGTATATTAGAGAGGCCTTCAAAGAATTTTGGCAGCTGTTTTCTCTGTTCAATGAAAAACCATGTGCCACAACACGCAACAGCCTTGAGATGCCTTTAAGAATGTTCTGAGTGACCAGAACATAATGGACAGTGTGCTGGCCTTGCTAAAGCGATGCCATGTTCAAGTATCCCAACAATCTTTTTAAAATGGGCCCTAAAATAAAATTTCCCACTGGTTTGCACAAATAAGCGGTGATACGTAAATGAAATTTATTTGTGAACAGCACAGGACAATGGTGAGGCCACTTTTGGAATACTGTATTCAATTCTGGTGTCCCTGATATAGGAAACATGTTGTGAAACTTGAAATGGTTCAGAAAAGATTTACAAGGATGTTGCTGGGGCTGAAGGGCTTATGCAACAGGGTGAGGCTGAATAGGATGTGTTTTTTTTTCCCTGGAATATTGGAGCCTGAGGGGTGACCTTTTAGAGGTTTATAAAATCATAAGGGTCATGGATATGGTGAATAGGGGAGTCCAAAACCAAAAGGCATTGGTTTAATGTGAGAGGAGAAAGCTTTAAAAGGGACCTGAGGGGCTACGTTTTCATGCAGAGAGTGGTGCATGTGTGATACGAGCTGCCAGAGGAGGTGGTGGAGGCTGGTACAATTACAACATTTAAAAGGCATCTGGATGGGTACATGAATAGGAAGGGTTTAGAGGGATATGGGCCAAAAGCTGGCAAGTGGGACTAAGTCAGTTTAGGATATCTGGTTGGCATGGACAAGTTGGACTGAAGGGTCTATTTCCATGTGGTATAACTCTATAACTGGAATAAGGCCAGTGGAGTCTCAAGTAACAGGATTCAGTCACAGACATAGCATAGAAAATAAATCAGAGTGAAGTTGGGGATTATGATGTTAGATGCACTTCTGTTTCTGTCCTTCAAATCACTTGCTTTAATTGACTGCTGCTCAGGTGATTAACACAGGTGTCCATGAGTGCTTGTGTACCCAATATAATGGATGCAATATGATCAGCCCCTCCAAATAAATGCAATTGGTAGAAATGTGCCTGATGGTATAGTCAGTTTGGTGGGCATTGAGACAAGCTAGCATAAAATGCAATAGATGATTTGAAGCATAAAGTTTGGATCACCATTCACTTGTGCTTAAGATTCTGTGATCCTTCGCTATATTTGATTTGATTTCATGCAGATTAAGCAGTTACTTGAGTGGAACTGATGTCAAAACTCTAGGCCAATCATTTATAAATAGCTTTATGGTGTTTAAAATAAAATGTTATTCAAGTCTGGTTTAAACAGAGAATTGAAGGACTATGTTTTTCTTTAAATTGCTTATTCTTCACCATTTCACTCATGATGTCATGTGGTGCGTACAAATATGAATTGAAATGCGTTGGAATTTTGTTTCTTTTTATTTGTTTGTTTTATTTATTCCTGCATTTTCCATCTTAATGCTTTCCTTGCCTCAAGCTTTTTAGTTCCCTTCATGTTAAGTGTTGTTTACAGCCACAAGCTTTCTCAAGTGCCACTTTGGAGTGGATGAGTTATCACAGAAAGCTGCTTTTCTTTCTCAAAGTGCATAGTCTTATTGCTACCTCTACTTCTATATTCTATAATCTCAAATTGCACAAACTGGTAATAGTTTAGCTGCATTTTACCAGAGGGTGTGGCATTGCATTGGACCAACAATGTCCAACATTGGACCAACAATGACCAACAACCATCAATATCTCCTTTCATGTTAAAGCAGCAATGTTTACATTGGTGAATCTATCAAACAAAACTAACACTTGTTCTTTTTCAGCTATTTCTTGTGGCGTTCCAAAAGCCCCAGATAACGGGACGGTCTTTGGGAGAGAGTACACTCTCGGAACAAGGGCCATATATCAGTGCAATGAAGGATATAGGTTGCAATCTGGTGAATTATCAACTGCCGTCTGCCAGGAAAGTGGAAAATGGAGCAACAATGATAACCCTCCATTGTGTGTGGGTAAGTGTGCCATTAAGAGGTGAGTCACATAGCCTCTGAAAAGAAATCACTACGTGAGTGAAGGAATACAGATTGACCTGAATTCTAGAGGTCCCCAGCCGTCCGACAGGTTAGACTTCCAGCGATTGTGATATTTTCCTGTGGGTTTCTTGACTGTCTGTCTCCGTTTCTCTCTCTGGTCACACCTATGGTGTTGGCCAGACGAAGCTTACATAACATTCTGCCTTTTAGACCTGTGGATCTGAGGAAGATATTTGAATATTTCTAAATATTGTAAAATTGGGAACAGTGGAAACACAGGAGTGTTAGGCTCCAACTACAGAATCATGAAAAGTCATTGGTCAAGTACAAAAAGAAAATTGTAATTAAGATGGTTACTGTAATGTTCGCCTTTATTTCAAGAGTGCTAGAATTCAAAAAGTTGCAAAGTTATTCTACATGTGCATGCATTTCATGGTTAGACCCCATTTTGCACACAGAATTCATTTTGAGTAGGAATGATATATATTGGCCTCAGAGAGAGACAATGCAATTTCAACAAAATGATACCAGGATTAAAAGTATTAAATAATGAGGAGATTCCAAAAAGGGGGCATAGATTTCCTTGGACTGAAAGTTAACAAGTATTCTAATTGGCGTATTTAAGATTATTTTAAAAATCAACAAGGCCAAGAGAGAGAATTTGGCTTTGTTGGGATCCAAACAAAGCACCTAAAATTAGACAAATTACTTCTTCATGCAGAAGGCACCAGAAATCTGGAACTATCTGAATCTATTTGCACTCCCACATTTCCATTCTGCCCCTGCCCCTACCCCCTCCACCTCTGTCCCACCCCAAATAATATCTGTTTAGAATAGATCTATTTAACACTTCAAAACTGAGAAAGTTTTGATAGGTCAGTGTCTTAAGGGTAACTATGGCAAATAAATGAAGGTATGATACAGATTAGGCACAATCCAATTAAATAATGGAACTTGCCAAAGAAGCATAATCACCCCTTCTCCCGCCTCCAACACACCCCCTCCTCCTGGACACCACCCCAAGGCCTCCTACCCTCCCTTGACCTCTTCATCTCCAACTGCCATCGAGACCTCAATTGCCTTAACCTCTCCACCCCTCTTACCCACTCCAACCTCTCCCCCGCAGAACGTGCAGCCCTCCGCTCCAATCCCAACCTCACCATAAAATCTGCGGACAAGGGAGGCGCAGTTGTAGTATGGCGTACTGACTTCTACATCGCCGAGGCCAGACGTCAACTCTCCAACACCACCTCCTACCGCCCCCTTGATCATGACCCCAACCCCGAGCACCAAACCATCATCTCCCAAACCATCCACAACCTCATCACCTCAGGTGACCTCCGACCCACGGCCTCCAACCTCATCGTTCCCCAACCCCGCACCGCCCGCTTCTGTCTCCTTCCCAAAATCCACAAACCTGAATGCTCTGGTCGACCCATTGTCTCCGCCTGCTCCTGCCCCACCGAACTTATCTGCAACTATCTGGACTCCATTCTCTCCCCCTTGGTCCAGGAACTCCCTACCTATGTCCATGACACCACCCACGCCCTCCACCTCCTCCAGAACTTCCAATTCCCCGGTCCCCAACACCTCATCTTTACCATGGACATCCAGTCCCTATACACTTGCATTCCCCATACAGATGACCTAAAGGCACTCTGCTTCTTCCTGTCCCGCAGACCTACCAGTCCCCCTCCACTGACACCCTCATCTGCTTAGCCGAACTCGTCCTCACCCTCAACAACTTCTCTTTCAATTCCTCCCACTTCCTACAGACAAAGGGGGTGGCCATGGGTACCCACATGGGCCCGAGCTACGCCTGCCTCTTTGTAGGTTACGTGGAACAATCCCTCTTCCGTACCTATACTGGCCCTAAACCCCACCTCTTCCTCCGTTACATTGATGACTGTATCGGCGCTGCCTCGTGCTCCCACGAGGAGCTCGAACAGTTCATCCACTTCACCAACACCTTCCACCCCAACCTTAAGTTCACCTGGACCATCTCTAATACCTCTCTCTCCTTCCTGGACCTCTCTGTCTCCATCTCGGGCAACCACCTAGAAACCGATATCCATTTCAAGCCCACCGACTCCCATAGCTACCTAGAATACACCTCCTCCCACCCACCTTCTTGCAAAAATGCCATCCCCTATTCCAAATTCCTTCGCCTCCGCCGCATCTGCTCCCAGGATGAGGCATTCCACTCCCGTACATCTCAGTTGTCCTCGTTTGTCAAGGAACGCAACTTCCCCCCCTCAGTGGTCGAGAACGCCCTCAACCGTGTCTCCCACATTTCCCGCAACTCATCCCTCACACCCCGTCCCCGCAATAAGAATCCCCCTCGTCCTCACGTACCACCCCACCAACCTCCGGATCCAACGCATCATCCTCCGACACTTCCGCCATCTGCTATCCGACCCCACCACCAAAGACATTTTCCCTCCCCACCCTTATCTGCTTTCCGGAGGGACCACTCTCTCCGTGACTCCCTTGTCCGCTCCACACTCCCCTCCAGCCCCACCACACCCGGCACTTTTCCCTGCAACCGCAGGAAGTGCTACACCTGCCCCCATACCTCCTCCCTCACCCCCATCCCAGGCCCCAAGAAGACTTTCCACATCAAGCAGATGTTCACCTGCACATCTGCCAATGTGGTATACTGCATCCGCTGTACCCGGTGTGGCTTCCTCTACATCGGGGAAACCAAGCGGAGGCTCGGGGACCGCTTTGCAGAACACCTACGCTCGGTTCG